ATATAGGCCGAATATAACGTAGACTTGTTTTGGATAAGTTGTTTTTGTTAGCTTAAATTCTATATTTGATTCTAATCATGTACCTTTGTACTTGCACTAAACACTTAATCTATGTTCCCCCTTTAGCCGATTTGACGTAAGAGAGTTTATTTTAAAAAGCAACATTGATTTATTGCTTTAAGTACTGCGACAATAACATTCAGAGGCGAAATTAGAAAGTTTAGATAAAAAGTATTTATTAAAATTTTCATAGGTTTTTGTTTGTTTGAACGCCAGTTTGTGTTACCTAACTATGTCACTTAATTCATTCTAATTGAAGAGCGCCACTGATTTTCCAATAACAGGCCCTTAAAATGTTTGCTATAGATTGACTACAATGTACCTTAATATTTAATTCATTTAAATCAAATTTAGATCAAACTTAATAATGTGATTTTAAATAGCGGATTTGGGGGGTGGGGTGGGGTGAAAAAAAGAAAGAAAAATTGATCGTCCAAACGCATCAGGTTATATTTGGGCCATTAGAAAAAAAATTTCCTCTAAGATGATGTTATCTTGATCAGACCCACTTTCGTCCCCCCCCCCGTCCCCTTCCTTTTTCGGCCCCCGGCTTCTCCCCTTTCGGTCATCTCTGGATTCACCCCCTGAATTGGCCTACATGCCAGCAACTGAAGAACATAGGCTATTTAACTTTATGATTGGGCTGGGCATGTATTTTATGGTGATAGATTAATCAAAAGAAAAACAGTGAAAGTTTAACATTGTTCTGTGTATATCATTTGAATTCCTTCAATTTCAAATGAATGACCGCTGATTTTTGTGTAATTTTTGTAGTATTTCAAATGAATATGTACCCATGTACCCCCTGTTGTCTTCTAATCGGATTAAATTCTGGCCGAATTTTGGCCCATATCGAAAAAAAGTTTGGCTGAATTTGGCCGTGAGATGACGTGTGTTTGGCCGCGAAGCCTGTCGGCTATCTGGCAACCCTGCTATTGCATATCACTCGCAATGAGCAGTGGAATTAGGAGAACGATGTACTGGGAAATTAAAACATCAAAAGTACAATATTGTTTGACTTTACTGTCATCGTTAAAAAGGCGTATGGTTCCACTTTATAGTAAGAGTTTCATTTAGCTAGGCCTATATAACCATTATCAAACAAGGACTGATTTCTGTACGAAACTCTTGGCATTCCTCTAGGGAATCCGCCTCTAGGCCTTGCTTTTAAATTCTTCGCTGGTGAAGAATCTAAGCAATCATGCGGGCCTAGGCCTTGCTTTGATTCTTCTTTGGCGGCGGCCCTGCTCTAGTGACATAGGTTTGGGTGGCATATATCAGTCATAAACACGGTCTTACCAAGTTTGAAGTTCTCAATCCCCACATCCCAAGTTTTAGCCCAAGATGCCTAGATTATCTTATCCGACCAAAATATTCAAACACTTTGAATGCACAAAACTTTACGTAGACTTTGTCACTCTCATGGTACAGAATCTAGGCCTACAGTAGATCGAGAATGAGATTCCCCTTCGTGATTGGGGCATATTAATTAGTGTCAAATTTCTCGAATCTACTTTTGATGCAGGGCCATTTAATGCAGTACTACGGATAAAATGCTAGGCCTGTATGAATCCTCTTGTTTACAGTATATTCAATTTTTTATTGCAAGTGTTGTCATTTAAATAGATTACCAAAGACTAGCTGTAGTGTGTGTATATTATGTGCCTTGGCCTAAGTCCTGAGGATGATACCTTGCTTGATGGCTATATAAATGACATGACTCTTATTGAGTGGAACACAATTATGCCTATTTGTCGATGACAGTATTATAAGAATATACTGTACTCTCTTTGCCTAATCATCTCCCAAGTACATTTTTTTGCTAGTCACACACTGTTCACCACACATGACAAGCACTAAAAACTGAATATACACAAGAAGATTCATAATGCCTCCTACAGTAGCATTTTATATACCGTAGTACGGTTTTAAGCGAGGTCTGCATTAAAATTATTGGGAAAATTTGATACAATAGTAATAATCACGAAAGGGAAACTCATTCTTTTGGTCTAGGCCTAGATTCTGTACCATAATAACAGTGACGAAGTCTAGCGCTATGAAAAGTTTTGTGCATTCAAATTGTATGAATACTGTATTTTGGTCGGATTGTAAACCGTAGTATTATTTCGAGTATATTAGGCTTCTTGGACTAAAACTTATGAATTGGGATTATGAAGTTCAGACGGTATGATCACGGAGGAACTAGGCTAAGTTTATGACTGATACAGTATGCCACCCAGATCAATGTCACCAGAGCAGCTGCCGCAGAAAAAAAAAGCAGAATTCATGCAAGGCCGAGCAGGCCTTGCTTGCTTAGATTTTCGCCAAGCGAACTGAATTTAAGAAAGGCCTAGAGGCCTGCCAAGAGTTTGGTGGAATCAGTCCTTGTTTGATAATGGTTATACCATGGTTATACATAGGCCTAATGAAACTCTTTACTAAAGTGGAACCATGCGCCTATTTATCGATGACAGATACTAAAGTCAAACAATTTTGTACTTCTTGATGTCCTAATTTCCCAGTACTGTACAATCGTTCTCGTTTCGCCGCTCATCACAGGTGATCTGCATCCCCGGTCTTGAAAAATGACGTCACACACATTCTGGCACTTCATTGGGTGAGGGTGACGTAATGTCATTTACCGTACCTTTAGCAAATTGAAGTAGAGATACGGTACTGTATCTCTAGCCACGACGTTGTTATTATAGGGTTCGCATTCAGAAAACGCTTTTGTGGTACACTTTTCAGCTGCAATGCAATACCGTGTTAGTCATGACCCGTCGGTGACCCAAATTGACCTCTGCGTTGGTTTGATCGCGGGAAATTTGGGGTGATGAAAAAAATTAAACCAATAGGATGACGTGCTTGAAGATCATACCATACCAATTCATACTTTCGTGGTGTGTTGTTTACTACTTTCGCAGCATGCGCTGTAGCTCGCAAGAAGTAAGGTCTGCTTCAACTTCCGTTGGTGACTGTTATTTAAGCTCCGCCCACCTGGCAATGCTTGCATTACCATGCTTTTATTAATTGCACTTTTCACTAGAAACGCGTTCAGAAGGAATTTAACCATTTATAAAAAACATGTGTTTTTGGCGTTATTCAGCAGAAACACGCCCTCCTACTACTACTACTACTAATACTAGGCCTACTACTACTACTATTACTACTAGGCCTACACTAGTAGTACTACTACTACTAGGCCTACTACTATTCTAACCCATAAAGGCTATTCTTTGGAAATATATTCTTTTCTGTTGTCAATTCTTAATAAATTGACAGTCCTATTCTCCTCCTCACACATTGTCAACCCTTCAACTCAGTTTTATGGAAGTCATTGGTAGCAGGTCCAAATGGCAATAACCAAAACTGCAGTGATAAGTACCAAAACGGCAACAGACCAAAAAGGCAATGGCAAGTTCCAAAATGGCAATAGACATCCTAGGCTAGACCAAAACGGCAAAGGAGCACAATCATTGCCAAGAACAAGTGCCTCTAGGCGCGGGAAGCAGTTTGTAATTTTCCGAATTGTCTTGAAATTGGGCCAATTGCCATGGGCTCTTTTTCTCGCTTTTAATGTTTAATCATGGTTTTTTTTTAAAATATATTTTACACATCCATGACGAATTGTTTAGATGCCTCATTTTGTCCGTATTTTAAAGTTTTTTATTTATTTGAATGTTCACATATCGTGTTCCGCAAATCCTTTTATTGTTGAATTTGATTATTATTTATTAATAATTAATATTATTATTATTATTATTAGTATTATTATTATTATTATTATTATTATTAATTTGAATATTATTTTATTTTATTATTATCATCATCAACATCATCATCATAATGTGAAGCGCTTTAGAGGCTTTCTGCATGAAGCACTATAAAAGACATATTATTATTTATTATTATCATCATCATAATCATCGTTTTTGCACGTTTTTTAATAATACTTCTATGACATAAGTGGTTTTAGCCTCGTCTGTATTTTAATGTTTTTTTTATATGTTTAAATGTTTACCGTATTTAATCGTTGTGATGATATACCATAATAAATATTGAATCAGAATGGTCTGTTAATCTTATTTCAGTTGTACCTTTTAAATGTTTTTAAATTAGTCACACAGTTAAAATAAAAACATCAAATTGAGGTAAATACGAGTTAACTTGCACCTTATCATGAGGAAGGTGCAAAATCAAAAGGGGTTTTCTAAAGAAAACCTCATGGAACAAATCTTTTAATTTAATAAAAGAATTTTAATTAAAGATTGGTTTGAAGTAAACTATTATTGATTCAATTTACTTTGTTAGGCCTACTGTGTACAAAGCGCCAACTGTAAACGTCATACAAACGAGTCAGTTTTGATTTATTGCCTTTTGACTTTAATATTGCCATTTTGGTTTATTGCCATTTTGACTATCAAGCAAGTCATTTCTCTGTGCCTAGGCAGCTAAAAGACAGTGGCATTGTTTCTAGCTTAGTGAAAGTAAAGCCAAAAAAATGGCATGGTTTACAGTGTGGTGGGAAATGTGCTGCTTTGGCTTTATTATTAATAATAATAATAATAATAATAATTATTATTATTATTATTATTATTATTATTATTATTGATTGATTGATTGATTGATTGATTGATTGATTGATTGATTGATTGATTGATTGATTGATTGATTGATTGATTGATTGATTGATTGATTGATTGATTGATTGATTGATTGATTGATTGATTGATTGATTGATTGATTGATTGATTGATTGATTGATTGATTGATTGATTGATTGATTGATTGATTGATTGATTGATTGATTGATTGATTGATTGATTGATTGATTGATTGATTGATTGATTGATTGATTGATTGATTGATTGATTGATTGATTGATTGATGATTATTATTATTATTATTATTATTAATATTAATTCTTTGTATTATTTCAGATCATTCGTTATTGATATAAATGTAAAATACCAATTTAGTGGAACAGAGAATGATATTGAGGGACTGAAGAATGGTAATAGTTGAATGTATTATTTGTCTTGTATACCACTTAATATTCTAAAGTGTTTTAATGTTTTTGATACTAGTTATTGTTGATCTTTCACTATTGTCTCCTGAATATGATGCTAGTTTGCAGAAGGTGATGGTTTAATAAGCTTCACCAGTCATTGTAGTTATTTGGTCACTGAGGAACAGGTCCAGGATTTATCAATCTCAGCTTAGCAATGCTAAAAAATGTTAAGGTGTCTATTAAACCAAATATCGTAGCTGATATATCAAACCATCTTTTAGCAAAAATTAAAAAATCGTCTTGCAGTAGATGGCGCATACGTACAATTGACTTTCTAATTTTAAGCAATGTTTAATAAATCTGACTTAAAAAAAGAAGAATTTAAACTCAATTCTAGTTTGATAATTTTGGAGAAAACTATAGTATGTCTAATGTAAAAAATGTGAAAGCGCTGTGTGTTTTGCTTGTGTGCTCGAAGGCACTCTGCCTACGGTTGCCTCTGTCCACCCCCTAGGTATCCCCCACCAAGCCAAGACATGTCTTTCAAAATTTCAAGTTCATTTTTATTCACATATAATGCATCATCAGAAATTACAATAAACAAAATATTTATAATAATAAAGTATAGAAAATGTAATGTGTCTGTAGGAAGCCAGATAAGCCCGGGAGGGCTTTAAGCCTGTTTTCACCAGTAAAAGGGTGAAAATTTAAAGTTTTGATAATAAAGTAAATGTTACTCATTCACTGTCGTAGAGTGCCATTTTCGGCCATCAAGAGGTCGGAACAGGTGAGCCAAGGCCTACCAACATTTTTAGTGGGTTGGCAACCCCCCTGTAGGCTCCACCAATAATTTGTCAAAAAATTTTGACAAAAAAACAGGCCAATGCTTACCTATAATATAAACAAATTGTAAATTTGTTATTGTTCTTTTCAATTTAGATGAGGATTACCTGAAAAATATTTGCAGTGCTTTATTACCGGTACTCAACAAAAAAACTGGTTCTGACAAAAGCGGTAAAGTATAAAGTTTTTGCTTCTCTCATAAAATCGGAAAAACCCTAAAAAATGTGTTTAAAACATTGAATTAATCTTCAAAAGAATCATTATAAATTATCATTTTTTTTACTGATGTACAGATAGAACAATATTGCATTTATTAATGTGCAAAGATACAATACAATTTAAATACAATTTATTTTGAATATGTCCATGATCAAAAGGTTTGTTTAGAATCATATTTATATAGGCATACAGTATCTTGTTCAACTTGAAAATCACTTCTGTATTATTCTACATCCTTGATTGATCAATTTTTGTTAATATTAATTGAAAGAGTTTATTATGGTAAAAAAAAAAATACTGATGGGAAATGGCTTTCTGTCCCAACTGCTAAAACTAGGCCTAGACCATTTGGGCAATTCCATAAGACGAGTGACATGAGAAAATAAAATAATTATTCTATTAAGGAAAAGGTCAAATGGATTTACAAGGTACTGTACCTAATTTTTAGAAAAACTTTTTGGAAAATTTGGTATCAAACACACTGTTTTTATTATGGTTTCATTAGAACATGTCACATTATTTTAATGCCACAGATTACATAAAAATAGGAATATTTAATTTCTAAAGTAACCTACAATAAAAACTGACTTTCTCACTTTATTTCACTTGTATGATGTCAATAGTATTCATTTAAAGAATCAAAAAAGTTTTTAAAAACATTCTTGAAGTTGGTAGCCAAAAATTGGAATTGAAAATTCTTGATTTGTGTATTGTCCTTCACAAATAAATAAGAAACGTATAATTGAGAAAAAATCTGAATCCTCTCTAATTCTCTTAGTACTGTAATTTCAACTTGATTGAAAACGATATTATGGGATGTTCCCAAGTGAACAGTCGGGGAGACTAAACAGGAAAGAGTCGAGGAGGGGTGCGGGGGGTGTGCTCCAAGCTGTGTCTTGTGGGCATGACGAGCATGAATACTGTAAACCCACATACTCAGTTTAATTGTTTTACAAGTCGTCTCTAATAGTTGTAGTAGTACTCCACTATTGATTTCGCATGGATACTTTTCAATGAATCTGTTTCACTGCAGTGATAACCGAACTTGCAGTGTTTCAGTACTACTAGTAAGGGTAAATGTTGTTAATAATCATTGCAATCAGTCTTAAAATTAAGTGATAAGAATTTAACAGAGAAAATAAAACTGTAACATCCATCACTTGTATTTGTAACTTAATTCACAGAAAATAATGGGTTCTGTAAACATTGGTCATACCCCTTTAAATACTGTTGATAGGGATACCACAATAGGTATCAAGTGTCAGGTATGTGGAGAAAGCAGTGGTTGCTCCAGAAATTTGTCAACAAGGAGTCAGACATGTCTGACAGCGGGTCCGAACCAACGGCCAACTAGAGCCTAGATCAGGGTCTTGGAATAGAAATTCCTGATAGAGTTCATGGTGAGAGTTTTTATGGCTTTAGTACCCAAAATTGTGCTTTTAGACCACGATATTGATTCAGACAATATGGAAATAGAGTAAGTTCATTTTTATGAATGTCTATTTGGAGTAACGTGTATTATGCACATACAGTACCTCTTGTTACCCTATAACCCCTAGATATTTTTAAGCACTCTCCTCTGTGGCCCGACAGTATAATGTTGTACATTGACATGTTTCATACACAAGTGCATGTTTCTGGGGAAAACAATCTAGCAATTAGGTTTATCAGTTTGAATAAAATTCAAGCTCTCTGAATGTAATATCCATCACCATGGAATTGCCCATTTTCATTTTTTTTGTGCATGTTAAAATTGTGTTTATTTATGTTCACTTTTATGTTTCATACATACTAAAAAAAATTTAAATAATATACAATGATAACATTATAAGTTTTTGATTATTTGATGTGATAAAATTTGAATTTAGTGCAATCTTTATCCACATCTCAAAATATATGCAATGATAAATATATCCCAAAATAGCAAAATTACCAACTTTTCTGACAACATCACCTACAGGAGTATATTATACAAAGTTTTTTGTTCATTTTTATTTATATGAGGTCCTACATCAACAGGTCCTTTTCTGTTGCTGCCCTAATGTTGTGGAATTCCTTCTGCAGATATTCATGAGGCAAATATGATGTTTATTTCCATAATTTCATTAAGATTTTTTTCCCCTGACCATCTTCCAACAATTTCAAGTGTCTATTTGCATAGTTGTCTTCAAGTTGCTCGGGATAAGGTCAAGTTTATGATTAAGTTTGGCTTTTTAATTATTATGCTGTTCTCGACTCTCAGGCTCTTGGACTACATGGCAGTGACTGCCTTCTCTAGAACTTCTTTCAGATGTTTTGTTTGTATAATCCATGTAGACGGTTACAACTGAATTCACAATGTCATTTGTCACATTTCAACTGTGTTTTCTGACCGTGGAAAATATTTATTAATTACTTTTATTTGATTTCAAAAAATGTCTGTGATTGTGGACATTACTCACAGAAAAAAGTATAGTTGAGATGATAATTTGATTATTTATTTTGCAGAAACATCCTCAGCAGTGTCAGTCACTGCGGTGAGTATCTCTAATGCAACATCTACAGATGTACACATTCAAAGTCTCAATTTAACAACAACACAGGAGCAACCAATGAGTGACCTAAAAGTACTTGCAACAGCCACAGAGTTACAGCAGACAAAGTCATCAGGTTCGTTATCATTTCATTTGTAGCTACTCTGGGATTACAAACGACCGTAACCATATACTTGGTTAATTGAATAAAGTAGCTACTGTAGTAGACGGATTGACTACCTAGATAATAAGTGCCTAACTGCCTGAGCCAAGGCTGTACAATTTTATTATTTTGTGCAAAATTATCTTGTGTTTTATTTACTGAAATATTTCAAAATAGAGAGAAGATAGGCATTCAAATGTGCTTCAGCAATTACCATAAACTACCTGACATTCACCTCTGGTAAACTTATAGTGTCTCCACTTTGCAACATAAACATACATACCAAAAAATATAGTAATGCATTTATCAACCAGATTATTGTTTTTTTTTTTTTATTCTAGTTGTTATAGCGTACATATCCAGAAAACGGCTCAAGGTGTTTTTTTCCCTGGTCATTGGATAACGAAATAAATCATACACAACATGCAACCTCTTCCGTGCACCAGAATTATTCCTATTTATGCATGTAATCAGCAATACTAATTTCATTCCGAACCATTCACCTCTATACCAGGTATCCATTTATACTTCTGAGCAAAGAGAGGCAAATACAGATAAAAGTGTATTGAAACAGTGTAACGAGCATCGGTCTCGACCCCCTGACCTTCCAATTGCGCCACATACAGTTACTGAACACTTTACATTTACAATATTGCATTCTTTATGACCACATGATAGAATCTTAAGACTCATAGGCCTAAGGCTGGCCAATACTACCTTAAAGTGACAATCAAACTTTGTAAAAAAACTTCGAAATTTTTAACTATATTTTACAGCTCATACTGACCCAACATGACTGTTCTTATATTTGACATTCTCACTGGGTCGCATTACTTTTTATGCTAATATCTTGCCAGTCATCTCTTTCACAGTTAACCCTGGTTGCTCCACCCTTGGCAGGACAAACTCGCAACTTGTCCTGAGACATGCACCCACAGACCTGCAAAACATATTACTGGTTGGGATCAACAACCAATTTGCATTGAACGAAGAACCAACTCATTATTGATGGTACTAATTGAAATACTAAGATTATATAATTTTTTTTAACAAACAAAACATTTTTAATCCAAACCAATACGGATTTAGAAAGGGATTTTCAACCGACCTAGGTTTATTAGATATTTATGATAAAATAACATATGCGATCAATAATAAGGAATATACTGCTGGAATTTTTCTTGATTTTAGCAAGGCCTTTGATACCATTGATCACAGTATTCTTATTAATAAACTCGAAAACTATGGTATTTATGCCTTGCTCTTCAATTTATTAAAAATTGCCTTACCGATAGACATCGATTTACCTTCATTAACTCAACAAACTCCAATACTTCCCACATTAAATGCGGTGTCCCCCAAGGCTCCATCCTACTGTAGGACCTTTGTTATTTTTAATTTATGTTATGATATTTCAAATTCCTCCAAACTTTTCCACATCGTTTTGTTTACCGACGATGCAATTATTTTCTTTTCACATAAAAATAAACAAAATTTGTTCACAATTAAATTCTGAGATGATTAAAGTTTCAAATTGGTTTAATTTAAATAAATTATCATTAAATATCGCTAAAATGAAGTATGTTGTATTAATTGCAAAAACGAAAACTTAACCTTTGATAATTTATACATTGACAACCACCAGACTTCTCGAGTTAACGAAACTAAATTCCTTGGCATCACCATTGATTATAATTTAACTTTGAAACCACACTTACTGTAAATGTAATCACTAACATTGTTTCTAGAAATATCGGTATTTGTATTAATAAACTCAAATATTTTTCCCATCTAAAATTCTTTTGTCTTTATATAACACTTTAATTTTAACCTATTTATCTTATTGTAATATTTAATATTTAAAACACTTCGCCCATGGAAAGTACAGAGTCTACTCACCTTGATCATATTTTTAAATTACAAAAAAGAGTTGTCAGAATCTCTTCGAGCGTACCATTTAATTCGCATTCTAAGCCTTTATTCAAACAATGTAATATTCCTAATATTTATGATTTAAACAAACTTGTCACTTCTATTTTTATTTATCATATCTCTAAAGGTTCCATTCCATCCTATATACATTCTTTATTTACTAATGCATCTGAGATACATACATAATAATACAAGATTTTCTGAGACGAATTTTACTGCCGACCCATAATTTTCTAAACCAGTCTAGGAGTACCTCTTTTATACCATACCAAAAAAGTTAACAATGTGAAAAGCTTTTGACAAGTCCTGAATATGCTTAATTGAAATTTGTTATTTCAAATGATTCAATAATATTATTAATAACTTCAAGTGTTGCATGGCAAGTTGAGTGGTTCTGACAAAACCCATACTAGTGATTATTTGAAATATTAGATTAAAGATATTCAGAAAGTCGTGACTGCATTCTTGTATTAAAGAAAAAATATTTGAAAGGGTCGATATTGGTCACCTTTCACTATGACTTTTGGCAATTTGGAAGGGTCCTGGATGTAATTGATAAGTTGATAGCGAAAGTTAATTGTTTTACAATAAATGGAGTAACTATAGTTAGGTTACCCTTATTCAAATCTATATTGTGAATAACAGAAAAAACTTTCAGTGACTGGATTGAAATAGAAGGAATTAATACGAGGGACTGGTAAAAAAGTATTGGTTGAGGAACTGGTTTCATGCAATTTTCCAGCTTCTAGCACTCTTGCATTGTCACAAGCAGCAGCTTAAGCATGGTCAGAGTCTTGGAAAATAAATCCTTCTTTTGGTCCTCTGTAAGAATGTATACATTGCTTATGCTACCATTTAAGAACCAGTGTGCTATAATCCACCCCCTTCTTACTTTGGTGATTTTTAAGAGCTTGGAATAGCTAGATGGACAGACAGACTTGACACTGACAGGATAACTTTTCAAAATTGGGACCTATTCTTTCTATAGTGTTTTGGCCCTGATCCAATTCAAGTACTCGCCTACTTATTACAAACTTATTGTCAAGGCGCACATCTAGAATAGCTACTTTAGAGGCTATATAGCCTAATGGGTGCAGTATTAAAATTTATGGCCAGCATCTCAAGCCCCCTCATGACTGGTCACCCAAGGTGTGAAGGACTATCTGCTAGTGCTTTACTTACAAACTGACCAATAAACTTGAACCTGTTTTCAATAAAATTGTTAAAGGTTTGTCGCCGACCTGTCAGCTGACAGGGGGTCCGACAAGGGGCCTCTTAAGACAAGGGGCTGACTAAAGCATCAGTCAAAGTCCCGGAATAATGTCCCTGGTAGGGTTCATGGGGAAAGTTTTTATGGCTTAGTATGGCCCAAAATTGTTCTATGGATTGTCAATCACAATAACTTTATTTGGATAGTCAAATTATATTTTTGATCAGACAACCTCATCATGGTGTTGAAAAACTGGGGGTGGGGAGACCTGTCCGATGCCTAATTTCCTGCTTGCACCCCTACTGCTTCTCTATTGTGTCAGAGATAGCTATGTAGTGTAGTAATTATACTGAAATTATAACACTGACTGTCACTAGTGTAGCAATTTTATGAAAACCTGGCAGTAGCGTATCATTTTTTAAGGGGAAACACTAAATAGACAGTTATGCAAGTAAATGTTATGAAAAACATTTTTAGGTTATGAACTCTTGTAATGACCAGCCATTTGACATAGAACCAACAATTAGGCAATTCATTTTATTATGTGTATATTCTGACAATTATAAATATTTGTAAGATTATATTATTATGAAAAGTATACATTTTTCTATTGAAAATAAAATGTTTATGAAATTTAAAAAAAAATACTGTTGATGTAATTGCTATTTTATATTGATCTTATGCATTTACGTTTTTTCATAGAATCATCAATGCCTCATGTAGGGATGAGGTGTGCATTCACTAAAAAGAGACCAGCATCAGATAACATAGAAAGTTCGCAGACAACACCACCATCAATATCAAGTGTTTCAGCCATAAAATCACAAACAGAACATCAAGGTGCAAGGACAAATAAGTGTGTAAATGTGAGATCAAGACTAAGACCAATTGCTATAAAACCTTTACCACCAACAATTTATGGCCACACATCTGCCAATGGCTCACAGCCATTTGTTCCAATTGTTTTAAAACAAGTTAGGAGCTCATTTGCATTAGTTCCACAAACTCAACTAGTGTCAACTGTGGAGTCTTCAGTGATAAGTAAACCCACACCTTGTAGTCAACCAATTTCACCACAGACTTCAAAATTTATTGCTCAACATAAATCTTTTTTATCAGAGCAGCACACTTTTCGGCCTGTTAAACCCAATGAACTGCTTCTGGATTTATATGAACAACACTTGGATTTATTCGCAGGAACTAAATATTCGAGAACAAGTCTGTGGGAGAAAGTTGCATCAATAATGGTTGAACAGGGTTATTCAGTTACTGGACCTCAGTGCAACAATAGGTGGCGCTATCTACTTGCTACATTTAATAAAGTTGCGACAAGCGATAGCGATTCCAATTCATTTAAGTATTTCAATCGAATTGCAGAGATTCTACATAAAAAAAGTACAATGCCTGTAACAGCAGCAAAGACTCCAGGTGTTATTGCTGAAGCAATGCTTGAGGTTCTTGGAGATAAAGAGGAAGGAAGGCCAGTTGTGAAGAAGCGGCGAAGACGCAAGGAAGATGAGAAAGATGAATTAATAGCAACCTTAAGTAAGAAGATGGAACAGTTACAAGAAATGCAGAATGAAATGACAACATTTTTATCAGCATTCAAGGATGGCATTGTAAAAAAGCAGTAAAAAGTAAATTAAAGTTAAATTAATATTTAATGAGATTTTTTAGAAAATATGAAAATTTTAGGCATAGTGTTTAAAGATAAAACATTAAAACCAGTGGTTGTGCCAGCAGGTTATTGGCACCTATCAATGAACACTGATTTAAAAAGGCATTTTTACAGTCTGACAGTGCCATTTCTGTATCTAGAAGTATTCTTCAAATTTGCATGGTGGTGCTGAGGTACTATAGGTGTGGACCTTCTGTCAGGGGCCTTGGATCACTCAGGAACCTCTAGCACCGCCACTGATCATAACAAAAAGTTCATACAGTACAGTATATAATTTACAGTAAAAACGAACATACAGCACATAAAATGTAACTGACTTTGAATTTTTGACGTGTCAGCTCATCAATAGAATCCTGCGGTAAACCGTATTACTGATCAGGTATCCCACTTTCTTGACCTTTAATGATATTTGGTTGAATGAGGGCATTGTAGAGAGGTGGCAATGTCAGTCTTTGGTCCCGATTAGGATCAGGAGATAGGACCTTGTCGGATGTAACCTGCTGCAACTGTCTTCCTGTTGGATGGTGTGTTGTGTATAATTTTTATTGCTAAAGTAAAGTATAGTACAGTATATATTTCTTATATTCCCATGTGGCACTGTTATAAATTTACAAAGTATACTAAGACTACTTCTGAAACGATTAAAATAAATACATGGTTTTCTGTTCCATCCACATGCAAAATTAATAATTTTCTAAATGCACAGGGAACAGGCCACTTACAAATAAAAGTAATATATAGTGTTAAACTTATTCGTTTATTGAGGATGCCATCATCGATGATGTGTTCTTAATTGTTTTTCAATTTTAATTTATTGGGTTTAATAAAGTGTCCAGAAAATACAATAAAAAACTTATGCTTGTGTTTTGTTGATACTGTATAAACATGAAAGTAGCAACAATTCTTGTGCCCAGTTCAGGCCAACATTTGATAAAACGAAAGAACCAAAAACAATTACAAATGACACTCATGAATTTTGCCTGTTCACTTGTGCTCTGTTCCAAGTGCGGTGCGTATTTCCGGACCAAAACCGAGTAAAAATGTAACTGTTTTTACATTTCGCAACCACTCCATCGATTTTATGTGCAATGTTTATCAGAGGCCAAATTTATTGGGAAAACAATGTACAGTACTTCACATTGTTGAATATGGACGCGTGTAAAACTAAACCTATTACGATTTATTCCTTTTGGATTTAAATGTTAATTGCATTCCTTAAAACCAGACGCCAGAGGGCTATAGACCCCGGACTCCCCCACTGGACAGCCTCCTGTCCTAATTAATAAAAAAACATTCTCCAAGTTGGACCCCTGATTTTTAGTGCTCTGTTATAGTATTACCTATAACTTTATCACATCTGTTTTCTACTGTATCTACTTCAGTAAACCAAAAATTGACTAAATAATTAAAACTACTATGGTAATAGGTAAAGACCTACCAAAAGCAAACACATCACACAAGACAAGTTGACAAGTTAAGTTTAATCATAAATTTTCTTACCTCACCCCCAACTATGGTGGGGCTGAGGTGGTCTAAACTCTATATCTGTGCCCTCTCTATTTTGAATTTAGCATGTTTTTCAGAGAAAGCAGCTTAGCTGTCAACTAAACTGGCGGTAGCTGCTGTGTGTCTGCGCCAAACTGTGAAGATATCCAAGTCCCCGGTTCAATTTCTATCACTGCTCTCCTTGTGTTTCAACCGGAGTGCTGAAATGCAAGTTAAGATAGCGCACCTTCTTTAAAGCCGTTGGTCTCACGTGTGTGCATTATGGCCTGTGTGCATGTTAAAGAACGTACACTATTTGGAAAAAGTGGGATTGTCTCCCGGTGTACTACCCAATCACCATCAGAAGGACCCCACTGGAAATAAGTCTTTAGATTTTCGTGGGTTAATCTTGGTGTTTACACTGAATAAATACATCCATCCATCAAAATGTAGGAAAGTTTCAGGCAAGTAGAAAACTCATATGTTGGCCTCACTAACAAAAAAGCAATACAGTATAAGTTTATATACATTCTATTTAATGTGCAGAAAGATTAAACAATATATTATTATCATGCATGTAAAGATTAACAGCACATCACCTGAGAATCTTCACACTTAGATTACAGATTTTAAGTGTCACTTAAGGAGACTGCTACATGTACATATTTTAAAATTCATAATGTGTAATTATCGAGCATAGAAATTTGGGTTAAGTATGGTACGAGTTGTATTTTTTAGGAGCGAGGTTTGGTATGTCAAGTTGGATCTGTACAAGCTGCTAGATACAAATTGGTTTTAGTGTGAAGTGTCTGGACACCTGTGCAGAGGGGACGCATAAGGACGTTCCTGGCTCATCGCCTACACAAAATGCCCTTAAGTGATGTGATAAATAGACACTTGGCAAAAATCAGGTTTACAACATGTTCCTGTTCTAAAGGAACTTCATTCGTAGTAGAAAATCATATTTCTGTATTGGATATGCATTGTTAAATAATTTAATAAAGAATTTTTACTTAAAAAACAACTTAGATTAACAATAAGCTATTACCACAGTTCCTTGGATATCAACATCCCCTCATCCCAGTCCAATTTCATGTACCAGCATTTCTCAGGGCAAAAGAGCTTTGAGTATGATTTGAATGAGCAGTGAATTTTACAAATATTTTCATAAAGAAATAGTAAAGTTTGACTTTGAATTGGGCATGCAGTATTGAAAATTGGAATTTGGGAACAGATTCCAGGAATCTGAGCACAAAAATCCACCCAATTTAATCCTTAAGGGATTGGATTATAAATAAAGAGCTACAGTAATAGCTTTTTTAATGTAACAAAGCACAGAATTAAAAAACAAATGAATATTATAAAAGGTTGTCAGATTTACAGTACCAATCATTCAAATAATGAAAATAAGAGAAAATAATTGGATGAACATATATTTTGTCTTATTTAATTCACTAAAGGTAGAATACTGGATTACACTCACAAACATAATTTATAGGCCCACAACAGAGCACACACTTCCTCTTGGTCACAATTTATTCAATGCAACACAAGTTCTGCTTAAGCTAAGAAAATTTTCAGAGGCTTACAAAAAAAGCTTGTGTACTTGGACCACCTTTACTTTTTGGCTTTTATAAGCTTTAGACTGATATATCCAAAATCTTGAAATCATGTCATGACACTGGATGGTCAATGGCTTTGTACACTACAGCACATATTATGATATCAGAATTCATTCCAACAATTACTATTATTAAATCCACTATTACAATCACAATTAAATTTCTTAATCTTGATTCTATTTCAATGTAGACTGGAAACTGAAAATGATAAAACATACATAAAATGGTACAGTACAGAAAACGTTGCTAACTAGCTTTATCTTCCTATAAAGTTCAACTAAAAAATTGATCTTGAAAAGTGAAATAATAAATATATATCTTAATAAGAATAAAATAGTAGAATTGATAGGATTCAGTTCAAATATTGATCTACATCTAAAGCTAGTGCAATCACAATCCTCAGTATTATACCCACAAACCAAAACAATAAAATTATTACAATCTGTACTGTATTTTTCAATATACTGGACATTTTTGCTTATATAACACAATTAGGACATGATAGCAAATTGAGAAGGTGCTTGTTCTAATTATATAAATAAATCACTTATGCTATCAAACTTAATACAGGTATAGCGCTTATAGATTGCTTAATAACAGCATGTCAGCTAAATTTTGTTATATTCAACATTACAGTATTGTTTCTCCATTTGTTCAAAAGCCAAGTGTTTTCCCTGAATGCACTGATAATTTAATAAACCATTATTTCAGTATTATCGAGTCTTTATTTCATGTAAAATAAGCAAAGTTAAAAAAAACTGAAATTGAGTTTTACAAATGGCCATTATGAACATAAGTACTGTATATTTAACATTTTGACAAGAACTAAACAGATATTTGTCTCTGGGGTTTCTTTTGACAGGAAAATCATTGACCACCATATACATTTTGTTTTATAGGTTTCAGTGGAATTACTGGCGACCAATCCTGTCAGCCATTGTCATAATGCTTAGAAACTCAAAGAACAGTGTCAATAACTTTTATGATGGCCAAGAAAAATAAACATGCCTTGCCTATAGTACACAGATTACTTATAGTTTCTAGTTTCAGAAGGTTTTTCGATGAATTGCACGAGCACCGTCCTCATCATACTCCTTCTTTGAAACCCACATCTTCCTAAAAGTATCAAGTGATGCTAAAATTGAGCCCCTAAAAAGAGAGAGAAATAACAATTTTACTTAATTTACTGTAATCTCTAAATTACAGTTCAGATGAAAGACAACAACATAATATGAGAAGGAAAATGCACACACTGGGTAAAGAAAAAAGACTGACTGACACATATAGCTGTCGGACAAACAAATACTTCTTTGCTCTCAGTGAGCTATGGACAAAGTAACATCATCTGTTGAGATATAAATATGGTAAATCAATACTCACCCTATCCATGTTGAATAAAGTCTTTCTTGTGGTGCAGAAATCTGTTGATAAAATAATTAAAATGTTAAGTTAGTACGGTATGTACTTGAAAATCTCTGGCAATTTGCATCTATAATGGAAAATGGAGATGCACAGGCATTCTAATAAGTAGTAATACAAATTAACCTTATCATGAAAAATATGGACAAAAACCATTGATCCATATCATTGATCCATATACTCCGTACTCTTTTTATTTGACTTTTTAATTGTACGTAAAGAATGCTTAACGACACCGCAACCCATTCTCCCCATCACCAACACTGCTCAGATCAACCACTCATTTCATTTCATTTCTTTAGGCACTAGCACCAAGGATATGCCAATCAGCGAACATAATCACTATCCTAGGTGGCATATCCATTAAACAACAGGGGACTGATTGGACCAGTACACCGGGGTAAACCCCTACTCTTCTCGACGGATGTACTGGGTTCTTTAAAGTGCACACGGGACAAATGCATACACTGGGCCTATGGTCCTTGTCCGAGAAGAATTGTTCCACCGCTGGATCCATTGGCGAGTGAGCCGTTCAAACCAGCGCCAATATTATAGCTGAAGGTTACGGTGCCACTGACTTAACTGATCGGCCAATCAACTCGCCTACCATCATCTTGGACACAATCTATCCAATGCTTTCTAGGTCGTCCTCTCTTCCTTTTGCCCATCTCTATGTGCTCCGCTGCCCATCTTACCACGTTGTCCTCTTCCTTTCTCTTCATGTGTCCATACCACCTCAATATGCTTCCTCTTATCTTTTCTCTTAAATTCACAACTTTTACTTCCTGCCTTATAATATTTTTGTTTTTCATTCTCTCCTGTCTTTTCACCACTAAACCACTTCCAACTTCTTTATATGTTCTTCTTTCACTGCCCGCCTCTGTTCCATAGAGAGCCACCATGGTCTTGTACACCAGTGCCTTCAACCGCATTGGCATATGTCTATCGTGAATTAATATGCTTACGTTCCTCCATGCATTTCCTGTACCTTGAAGTCTTGCTAGCACTCCTCTATTCAGTTCTCCACCCTCAATAACCCAGCTCCCTAAGTATCTGAAGGCTTTGGTTTGCTTCAGTTGCTGTCCATCCCCTGTAATCTGCAACTGCTTAACTGGCTGTTCTCGTGAGAAAACCAATACTTCCGTCTTTGATTTACTCATCTGCATGCCATATGCTACCAGCTGATTGTGCCAAAAGACAGATTGCTCTAATTCCTCTGTGTTGGTTCCCAGTGCAATGTTGTCGGCGAACATGATTTTTTGTCCTCGTTCATTGGACGCTGGTTGCTTATACTGTATAGTCCAACAGTATGATAAAACAGCAATAGGATCAGAGCAGAACCCTGATGCAGTCCTACTTGCACTTCAACAGCCTTGGAAATCAACTTGATGTTATTAGTTTTAAAGCATGTGTACCATCATGACTTTGCCAAGCAAACAAGGCAAAGTGGGCTCACAGACCCGGGTGTTTAAAGAGAGATGGATGAACGATTATGCTCTTATTTTCAACACCAAGTTTTCAAAGCTGATTTGTTTGAATAACCTTCAACCTTTAATGTAATTATTAATCAACTGTTGTGGAAAAATCTAATATATTGCAGCACTTTACTACTACCCACCATTCAATTTGCAACCACTGGTTCTCAACAAACTCAAATTTGGAGGAAAAAAAATTAAGAGACATTTAAATTCAGGTCAGAACATGGTGGAATGATTAGCTACTATGCAAGGGGTAATGATTGCATCATTTAAAAATCATCTTGGTGGCTTGCTAGAAATATGAAGGCTTACACAAAATAATGGTTAGATTGTGAAGGGGTGTCTGAAGATGCAATGTAGTCTGTAATAGGAAGCCTGACTTAAAGAGAACACATATTGTGCACTGTCAAAACCACTGAAATATAACTGACAAGTTATATCATGACTGATTTGACAGCAAGACTTAAAAAGAAGTATTTTGTGTAGCATAGTCAAACTCATTTTTTTTTTTTCAGAAATCTGTCAACATCAAGCATTTTCAGGTTTTTAAAAAAATATTTAATAAAAAAAAGTGAGTACATTTTTTGAGCTTAAGTGTTCGATATAGCCTAGGCCCCTAGGCCTACTAACTACTAGAAACTAACTACCCAAAAGAAGTCTTTTCATTACCGTGATTTGATATTGGTCAAAGGTTATTCATTTTCGTATTCAGAATTTTTTCCCATAAATTATCTGATTCTCATGCAAAAAGTTATAAGAAACTTTGGGCCCCACTTCTGCAGCGAAAAAGGCTGCTTTCCGATAATTTATTGGGTAATAAGTGCTGCGGAAACACGGCCTAAAGAGAACTTAGAAAATGCAGAGTACATGTTCTTTCCAATAGTGATTTATTCTACATTTTCATTAGGCCTAAGAATTAGATTGTTTAAACAAACCAGCAATGCTATATTAACACAAGCAAGTGACAGTAGAAATCTTATAAATTTAAAAATAGACGTTAGTAGAGTGAAATGGATGACAAGTCAGAAAGCAGAATCCAAACAATTTCAAAACAGATAGTAGAAAAGCCCGAAACTCATGTCACAAAATGGCACTTATGTGGTTGCCCAGTGACTCCGGAAGATGAACCTACTTGCACTTTTCGAATTCGACTACTTAGCCTGGTCAAATTCACAGGTAGTTTTCCTGGGCAAATTAACTCGGTTAAACTAACCATTGACTCGGGTTAAAGTTTACTCCACTTTCCTGACTGGAGAACTTCCTAGGCTGTTTGCAATGGATTTTATATGGCTAAAGCTGACTGGCGTGTCGGATAGTTGCACCAAAGTAAGTCCTGTGCGATTGGGGCTTCAGTCAAAATAAATACTGTATGAGTAGCAGAGTTATAGAAACAGACATTCAATTTTGAGATCAAGTTAGCATGTACAAATATTGAGTTACAAGCTTTGTTCTAAATAAATATGGTACTCACTCTAATTTTGACATCTTTTGGTGCTAACTTTTTTACTTCACTCAATAGACGATCTCCAAACCCCCTGAACAGAGTTGAGCCACCTGACAACACAATATTGGAAAAAAGCGTCCTGCGTAAATCCATGTCTGACTTTTGAATAGAGAAAGTTAGCACCTCATGAAGGCCTTCACATTCCTCTCCAATCAAATCAGGTCGAAAGAGGAGTTCAGGGGCTCGGAATTTAGCAGCACCAATCTGAAATTTCATTAAATACAAGTTCAGTTAGAAAAAACAGTAAGTGTCATACCAAAGCAATTCAACAAAAGGATGCTCATCTCCCCATGAGAACATACTGTAGCATGTCCACACTTTTCATATTTCTTTAACTACTATTAGTTTTAAATAAATTTAATTTAATAGACTTAAATAGTCTAAATCATTCAGTTTATGCCCTTGTGACATGGTTGAAAGGTCATTAACAGTATTTCAAATAATTTTTTGACAAAATGGTTCATCAAAGTAAATAAAAATTGAAACTAAAGCTTTGTCTATACTATCAAATTTCATCAAAAAAGCATCACATAAAATGTGATGGAAAATAAAAAGTTGAACACGTTCAACTTTTTTTGATACAATTTGATAGTATGTGATATGATGTCATCGTACCCATATACGGTATGGGCACATCACATTTCTTTGTCACATAAAATTTGATAGACCAAAATCAACTCTATAAAACCAGTGGATAGAGATAAAAATGCCTTGTATTGTGGGTCAAAGGTCAGAATTGGCATTTCCACTAATTTTTATTCCATATATCCAAATAGAAATGGGTCTAAATACCTATTCTGTGCAGGTGACAAAAAAGCAACTCTCTGTGACCAGTGGTTGCCAAGATACAAGAACCTTGGTCAAAACCAACATGTTTATGGATATAAGTCTATGAAAAATGCCATAAAACATGGGTCAAAGGTCAGTAACACTATTTATTAAAACAAATTCTCCAATAAATTTTATCCAGTAAAAACATGTGTCTACTGCAAAATTTGAGATCACTGACAAGTTTGTACTGTCAGTATCTACAAAGATAGGATTATAAGTCTTGAAATGTATCGAAGGTCAGCAATGATGTTTCCAGTCATATTTAACAAAATGTTCGCACAAACTGACTCCAAAAATAATTCTCTACAACTAGTGTTTGCTAAGATATAAGGACCCTATGGCTATGACCTTTGCCCCTGACCTTCTCCCACATTTAGAAAATGTATTACCAAATGCTAATGCAACAAAGTTAATGTGATGGCAGGGATGTTATTGTTAAGGAGTGAATATTTGAACACCACAAGTACTGAAAACCAGCAAACTAATCATGATCATTACAACCTGACCATTGCTTACCTCCACTGTGCTTCCATCTGGTAGAGTGTACACAGTCTTCTCGGTTTCTGTGGTTTCCTCTTTGATTGGGTTACTTGATAAATAGCAAGCTTTCTGGAAAATGAACAAAATATATATATTTCTGACGTTTTAACTTATTTATTACATTATTAAAACTAACACAGCTCTAAAACTACTTTTAAGCACTCTGAAATTCAAAGGATGTTTATGTACCCCAAAACTGCGAAAGGTCCAATTTATAAATTTAGATAGTCAAAGATTACTGAATGTAAAATTTGTTACTTTTCTGAAGTAAATATTTAAAGAAATCTTTAATTGTTACATTTTAACCAGTAATCTATTGTTAGGCCAGTGTTTGGCCCCTCAAAACTCATAAAATAAAGATGCGTATGTATTTATTTTGAGATCACTGCTTCCTAGTGCTTCATTGCCAGGGTGGGAATTTCTGTTCTGGAAACTACTGGCAGTGAGCTTACATGCAGAACATCAGGGGTATGTTAGTACGTACTAACGTCTTAACACACTGAGTAAACCCTGTCGGACGTGAACTAATGTCCCTGGAAGCGAACATGTTAATTAATTTTGGTCAAGAAAAAAGAACTTCAAACGCACTGATATAACAAAGGATTGACAAATTTATAATTGTACAGAATAAAAAAAAATTACAAGAAACAACCAACCCCAAATTGCAAAATTGCCTATCCATACTTATAACATGGCATTATTGTGAATACATGCTACTTACCTTTTTAATTGTCTTGACAATTTCTAACTCAGCAGAAGTCCTGAAGTTCATACCCTCTTTTCTCAACAAAAGTTGTAGGTATCGAGTAACATCACGACCTGCAATGTCCACCCTCATAATAGAATGGGGCATGGCAAAACCTTCATAGATAGGAACAGCATGGGTCACACCATCCCCTGTGTCTAGAACTACACCTGTAGTTCTACCAGTAGCATACCTGAAAAATACAGACTTAATTACAAACAATTCCTTTACTTAAATGTTAATATCAGCCTAACTGTAATGGTGGGAAAGTGGCTTAGGTCAGCTTGTTAAACTGGTGGTAACCACTGTGTTTACGTGAAAGTCAGTAACTCTTTGTAAGAGGGGAAATGGTGACTTAAATAAATGGTGGTGGTGATGATGTGGAGATCTCTAGGTTCCCTGTTCAATTCCTTGCGTTTCAGCTGGAGAGCCCATGTGCGTGTAGTGGATTGTCTCCCAGTGTACTGCCAAATCACCACCAGAAGGACATCACTGGAAATAAGTCTTCTTCAGACTTGCAGCAAATAAATTCATCCATCCCATAGCCGTCGGGAAAATTTTGGTCCGGCTATTATAGTAGGAGCGGTTGGTGGAGGGGATGTTATTTTTATTTATTTATTCAGGTATAAAAGAAAATATACAAACGGCAGCCAAAGGCTGAAATGAATGTATTTACAAAAATAGAATATATTAAAAATGCAAAATATTAAAAATTTTATATATAAAATTGCAACAAGAATGGGCAAAACATTAAAATACATAAGAAAAATCACATTAAAAAATTACTAGACTCAATAATAACACCAAAAGATTACATTAATTATATCAAAATACAATCGATATAGAAAATTTAAATATATAAAAATATGAATTTTTTCAAATTATTAAATTGTTTCAAATACAAAATCAAAAAATTATACAGTTAGGAACACAACAAATATTGCACATAAAAACCACCCCTAGAAAAAACGGAAAAGATAGATAAAATGATGCAGCCAAGCAACTTATCCACCACTAGACAGGATTGGAAAAAATTGTTACTTGTTTAATAAGCAACATCAAAAAGTTAATGTTGCTCATTAAAGCAAGTTAACAATATAGTAGCAATAGATGAATTTTTCATTTTTGTGGTTCTACTGAAGGGAACTTCAATAAATCTGTTCGATCTAAGAGACCTAGTCACTTGACGATAGGTGGGAAGAAAATTTCAGACAGCAACAAACTTTCTCCAAAAGACAAAACAAGTCTTTCCTTTCTTGTCACAAGGGTTGGTAATCCAGTAACAGAGAGGGCATGGTCATAGTGCAAATAATTACATCCTAAAATTATATGAAAAGCTCTCTTTTGTACCCTTACAATAGACTTGGACATGTGTTTAGTAATAGCACCATGCCACACAGGGGGAGCATACTCCAAAATAGGCCTTATATAGGCCACATAGACTGTTAAAATGTCAGCAGCTTTCTTTTGCATGTATAAGGAAAATAACCTTCGAGAAGCTCTTGAGATAATATTATTGGTATCTGAGACAACTATAGGAGATTGGAAACGACCCGAGATTTCCTTTGTTCTTCCATCTCGGAGATTCGTTGTGTGTTGCATGCTTTTGATATGCAAATCCAGTCAACCAAACACTGTTGCAGCCAAGCGAATGCTTACTTGCTCATGCTCAGTTCATAATCACTATAGCCATGTAAATGAAAACAACTACCGAATAGGTGTCCCTGACATCGTAGCCGAACTTGTTCGCGGCGGAAACGGCCCTACGCCCCAGGGCCTATAATGGCTAGGCCACACTGTAGGCCTAAACTAGGGCATAATTTAAGGCAGTATTTCGTATTTATAATCTTGTAATCCATAATGATATTTAATATAGGTACAAACAGGTTTAGCTAATCTTTCGGTATATTACCTGCCAATGACTAAAGCCTTATGTACGCATACCATAAATTTCAGACATTTAAACTGCAATACATGTGTTTATGTATCTTACCTTTCAAAGAAATTGCCAAAGTAAAAGTTTAAATATTTTAAAAAATATTATACGTCCAATACCGCCACGAAAATATCCGCTTGTCTCGTGTGTAGAAGTCGCCCGCTTGCAGTTCAAACAACCTTATCAATGAAACGCAATACATCACAAACTGGAACAAGAATCCAGTCGCGTTTCTAATCTCCTTGTATAGTTGTCTCAGTTGGTATTATGTGCCCATTTTAAGTTATTTTGAATAATACAGTAACTCCAAAGAGTTAAACTGCAGACCCCTGCTAATCCTATCCATGGAAATAGGATTTAGAGTGAGTAGGGTTTGAGTGTATATTTGTCCCAATCCCTCCATCATTGGAGAACAACTTTTTGGCACCTGGATGCCCAGTAATAGATGCTGGCTCCTGTAGAGCTGCTACCCTTCCCCCTCAATGGGCAGCCACAGGATTAAAGTTCGCATGTGAATAGTTTATACCCACCTCAGCGCTACATTGGTTGGGGCTGAGGTGAGCGAATTTTGGATATAGGGCACCTCTGGATCCCCGGAAATAGCAGACTGGTAAACCTGTAGAGACTCTAGCCCTCACCATACTGTACATTGGCAGACAAGATTAAAAGTTAGTGGGGGCTAAATTCATATCCACCTCAGCCCCACTATACAGTAGTTGGAGCTGAGGTGAACAAATTTGAAAATACTGCACCTCTCTGGATTCCCAAAAATTGTAGAGCTGCTATCCCTCCCCCTCAATAGTAGACACAAAGTCAGTTTAGATATTGAATTCATACCTACCTCAGACCCATTACAGTGGGCCTCATGTGAAAATTTTTGTTTAAATATGGCATCTCTAGATGCCCAGAAATAGAAGACGGCAACCTCCATAGCAGCTACCACTATTCCAACCCCCGCAGGACTCCAACCCCCAAAATTTTATAAATAGTTAATTGTTATTATATATTTATATCTCTCAACATTTTCAAAATCAATCTTACAGTAATTACTAATATTAAGGATTGTCCAAAAAGCTGAAATGTACATAGGCAATACAAAACAAGCGCATGGTGGATTTTTGTGAAAAACCAACAGTCTGTGTAGTTCTGACCACCTGCATCCAAACCTCTATAAATAATGTTGAATAAAGTTTTTTTTTAAATAAAGCAAAAATTTAAATTCTAAGGATACTATACTTATCACAAATAAAGAAATTCTCAAAAAATAAATATTACTTACAAACTTAGAACTGCCTGCATTGAAATAAATAAGGCAGGAACGTTGAATGTCTCGAAGAAAACTTCTGCTGCTCTCTCTCGATTTCTCCTTGGATTTAATGGTGCTTCAGTCAACAATACTGGATGCTATCAGATAAATCAAACTAAATCTTATTAGGGTTGAATTTTAAAGCTCACTGTTAGATTAATATCTACTGACAAATAATATAATATTGTACTGTACATACATTTACATTGTTTTCCAACAGCAAATCACTCAACAATTACCAGATGGACCACTTACTTGATGGGTTTAAATTCTGATGGGGACAATAATTTTTTCTCAAACATTTATGATCTCTATATATTAGTATTACTTACAGGATAGACTAAACTCTATATTAAGTTTCAATATCAAGTTGGAGAGTTAAATTGTTTAGTCTTATTTCAAGCTAGAAATCTGGGATTTGAATTTACAGTAAGTATCTAACAACCAAGCTTCACTACACTATCTTAAGACAGTGGTGTAAGAAACGTAAAAATAAAAAATATTAAATAAATCAATGGGGAAATTGCAAACTATGTTTTACATGTTTAACACTCATCCATTTGTAATTTAAATTGGATAATTATTAGTTATAATTTAGGTAAATGCATGTTTATATTAAACATTTACATTCTTTGTTGAATTTAACCACCATACCGATATTGCCATCGATATCTGATCATCCCAAATGCGCACACACAATTAGCCATTTTCTGTTACTATGCATCATTTTGAAAATGTCAATAGAAAAGTAATCCAGCTCAGTTAAACCTATTTTCTTTGGCTTGCAAAAATTATCAAGAACTGGTAAATTATAGTATGGTCGCTTACAGTAGTTATTCAAGAAAAAATTGTCATGAACCAGGATTATTACAACTATCTGAATAAAATCATTAAAAAGCAAGGAAAAAACTGTGTTTGAAAAAGGTTAGATCAGCAGGCCTCCTGTAATAGGCCCTCTCAATCTTTAATAGTAAATTTGGCCCACAGTCACAGGCAGGGAATTCTGCCATAGGGGTCAAAATCTACTACAGATTTTGACCCTTTGTTTGGGGAATTTACTATGAATTTTAAGCTCATCTCAATTTCTACTTCACTTTTTTAATCCAAGCTATAGTTATTCCATATAATTATATTAAATATAAGCCTAATCCATATTCGTCAAGTTAACACAGAACTACAAACTGAATCTATAACCACAATATATATAAGCTGTATTTTGTCATACAAGAGAGTCGAAATTAACCCGGAGAGGATTCCAGTGACAAACTTGTGTGGAAAGTAAACTATATCTCTTCGTGGCCATCAAGAAAACTGACTTGCACGTGAGAAATCATGGCAACATTTTGGCTATAATGAAGTTTAGAATTTAGGCAGGAGATTCTTTACTTGCAAAAAATCTTTAAACAGCTCCCAACAATGATGCACATCTCCCAAAATTCAAAACCAACTGATTGTCATCTGTTCAGATTAGACAAACCATTCTTAGCGAAGGAAGTAACAGGTACCTCCAATAAAGAAAAATTAAGTAAAGTTGGTATGTGGATCTCGACATTAATATGTTATGAGAAGACCTTCTAACATCCATAGAATGTGACACTAGCATTTTCGGAAGCAGTCTTAAAAAATATAAAATTGCTTGCAGTCTTATGATTTAGGCCTGCAGAAACTAAGAGGGCAAGCCTATGGCTGAGCCAGTAACATGGTGGGGTCATGCAGCAAGTATCAGCTGAATATCCACTTGCTCTGTATCTTCATTGTATGGCCGTATCCAGAATACAACTGATTTTTTTTAAACATAAAAAAAAAAAAACATTTAAAAAATGGGTGAGGGGGAGGGGGAAGGGTAGTTACGCTCATTTTCTGTAGTTTTTATAAATTTGTATCTAACTATTCCCAAGTTTTTCGTCAAAATGCCTTGTGTCCTACAAAAATAAGTTGTACAACACATCAAAAAAGTCTGCCTTTTAATGCTCACCCAAAACAGCAAGATGCACTAGAGGATACCATATAAAGAAACAGCCAAAATCAGCAGGAGATAAGTTGCAGGATCTCTGGTCACACCAGATTGTTCCAGTGAATTGATGCATTACACACATTTTAGTGTCTCTATCCCTCAGTTTTAGCATGTTTTGTAAGATAATTTGCAATGATGGTTCCCAAAAAAAGTCTTTAACTGATGCAAGAGGTATGCAGCTAGCCATCACAGAGTATACTACAGCCATTCAACAACTGATGTACAAAGAAGTCCTGAATGTGTACAGTGTGAACTGCATGGCAGGAATATCCAAAACTGTTGGTAAAGAGAGCTTACCATCTGCCCTAACCCTACAAACAACATGCCAATTTGATGTATCCAAATCTAAGAGTTTTTGTTTCCATCATGTGTTCTTTTCCTGTGACCACTTTGCTCAGATTTCAGGAGACTTAAAAGAATCAAAACAGCTCTGCCATCTTTAATAAAAACTATCAACTCTCAGGGCTCTTCTGCACATACACCAAGACATTCTTGTAGATATATCTGCAGCTGTTGATGAATTTGCCCGTCTTTACCCTCAAAGATCAAATCAAACTCAGTCCACAGTAATGTGTACGGTAGCGCATTACAGGTAATTTTGCTTTTTAACATATTCCATGATTCAAAACATCAGTCTCTGCAATGTGTGTATAACGTTTTCAATGGTATTGTGCTTTAAATTACAAGATATTTAGTATTGGAGAAACTAATAATATGAATATCTCAATATGTGAAATTGGAAAAAGGCCCACAATGAACCCACTATAGAAGATACCTTGATTTAACATCAATTTTGCACCATCCAGAACACGTTTTTTAAATAGTCTTAGCAGAATAGTGTACATATTTAAAACCTTAATATAGGACTATGCAATTGCAGATTAGTGACTAATCCCACTAGCAAATCAAAGCCTTGAATTTGAGACTATAGGTCTATTGTGCACAAATTAAGTTATAGTATTAAAATTCACATTTGTATTTGTGTCTTTATTAATACTATATAATCCTCACAAAACATAATTTTCGTGGAATTCTTTTAATGCAAGCCCATAATATGGCAGACCTGTTTAAATTGATTTCGTCTGTTATCCTAGGCCCAAAGGATTAGGCGTGACATACAATAAAGAAATCAGTTCTATACTACAATCCAATGCCATTCCCTCAAACTCAGCACTCCTCTTTCCATAATCCTGGATACGCCACTCTTAAAAGCCAACTTAAGAACCATTGATACATACAACATTAAAACAAACCTTCAACATAAAAAAGTGTAGTATTTAATAGTAGTATGGTGTAGTAGTATAATTATGAATAAGATTATTTTACATAAAAAAAAACCAATGAATTATTCTCTTTACAAAAAACAACTTTTCGTTTTTCACCTCTTCTGAAAAAGTTTGGAGTTGATCTTTGGAGTAAATGTATTGCCATATTCTTTCCATATCATTCCAATCAGTAACAATTCCATGCTGGAAATACAAAATAGAACAGTTTTTTAAAACAAATACAGTACAGCAGTAATTGGTTATATCTAACTGTAACAAGTATATGATCAGTTTTACGCTGGCAACTTACTTCCATGGGGTAGTTTATACTTAGTAGGCCTCGATGTTCTTCAGCCTTTGGCCCTATGAAGATGTCTCCTTCTAAACCTCCAGCCATGACTCTTACATGCTTTGGCCGTCCAACACTATAAAGCATTAACAATGGAAACAACAATGACAATAAAAATTTCAGGGTGTAATTATGCAGAATTAAATTGATAATTAAAAATATACGCACTTAGCTGAACCTATACATTGTTTTCAAGCTGCATATGGTGTGCATGTGAAATGCAAATCTAGCCCATCTTATGCCTTTGAGGAACTGTATATCATCATTGTATATCATTATTTAATACTTACTGGAATTGAGGGAGAAGCCCATAAGAACATGTTAAAACAATGCTAAAATAACTCCATGTAAGAAATTTATAAATTGGTTTCACTAACAAAAGGTCAAAGCACTTTACCAATTAATAAAAGGGCCATTTAAAAAACAAGAGGGATTAAACTCTGGCAGTTTCTCAAACAAGTTATTGTTGAAAAAATAACTGCAGTCTGGAAAGATAGGATTTGACATATCTTTATAATGGTAGTTCTCAATTTCTTTTAGAAATTGGGACTCATGAAAAATTAATGGATTAAAAATAGTTTCTGCATTCATTAGTGTATTAAATAATAATCTTATTAAAAGATCATTATCTTTGCATACACAACAGCAATACTACTGTAGTATGTTTATTTAAAAAGCATCACAGCAGTTATTTAAAAATCATGATTTGCAGGAAAAAAACATATTTGAAAGTTCTCTTAAGCCAGGCACTCACTGAGTATGACGGCCGAACAACGGTCGCACAACTATCATAAATTTATTTTGGCCAGCAAATTAACTGCTTTTCATTTTTATTGCTCATAATTTCTATTTAGGACTTTTACTCCATGCTGATCAGTTCAATTCTAGGCTATACTACTAAAAATAGGTAGGCCCTACATCCTAGGCTGGGCAAGATGCAACCTGTGTTGAAGTAAATATACACAGATCCCAGCAGGCTGCAAAGGTGTATACCCCCTATTAAAGTTTATGTGTTGGCTCTTAGGAGCGACGAATAGTATATTTATACATTGATTATTTTTTACTTCCACCAATTTTAAGTTGTGCCTACATGGCACTGCTAATGTAGCATCTGATTCAATGGGGATTCGTAATTACAAAAAATCGCCTCTCACCACCTAAAATTATGTTGAGATGTGAAGCTAAATTTTCTTTTTTTTTATTTGGCTAATGACTTCTTTAAACATTTCAACTGTGCAAAGTGACACAATTAGAGCGACAGCAAGAGTAGCAATATACATAGATTTGATTTGTATCTGGGCTTAACATTACAAAAAACTCTTAAAAATAAGACTAAATTATCAATAATATATTTATTGTACATTTCATTATTTATATAATAATAATAGCTTACATTGGGACCAATTTACATATTGTAAATACTGTAAGATGAATAATTTTTATATTACAATATTTCTTTTTGTATCTTAGCCTTTGCAATTAATAAGCATCAATTCTTTGAGAACACAATACTGTACAACAGATACAGAGAGTTTAAAACTCCTAGTCAAAAATGGGTAGTGACACATTGTAGTTGGCTTGCTAACTACATCAAACACCATCCATCTCAATAGAATGTGGATGAATGTGCAAGTTAAAGATATTACCATATATAATTACAGATTTTTATCTTTTGTATTATTAAGCACAGATAATCATTTTCTAATTCTAATTATGGTACATACTGTATTAATTAAATAATTTCTTCGTGCCACAATACGGCACCATGTTCACTTGAAAATTATTTAGTTAGTACATTATGCTGTTTTTTAGCTGCCACTGTGTAATTGATTTGTTGTGGCAGCTGTATTGATTGCATCACAGGTTCTACATCTGCATCATCATGCCATGTCGTTGTATTCTCATTATTTGTTTTCAGTAAGTTTTGTAATGCAACGGCTGCAAACACATTTTTTTTGGACACTTTCTGGTCTTATCACAATTTTGTTTTTATTAGAAAAACTTTAAGTCAGTTCCAAAATTCCAAAAGCATTTTCTGAAACTCGTCAGTATGTGATAATCTATAGTTGAATAGTTTTGTTTGTGATTAAGTCCTTGCATTGCATTAAGGTTTCATTATGCCCCTCATCAAAAAAAATTACAATATGGCACTTTTATATCTGGGAGTTCACAAGGTTCAGGAACCCCGAGTGTTTTAATTTTTAAATGAATATCAAGAGAGCATTTTCAAATATACCTCCATCGGAAGCCCTACCATTTGCCATTTGTCCCTAAGTTCATGTAAATGTACTTATATGATGTATCAACAAGAGCCATCAGAAGTTACTCTTGTAACTGAAGTACTCCGATCCAGTGTAATGTGGTGGCATAACAGCAACATGTTTCCCTGTCGCATGTGCCAAGAAATTTCCACAGCTTTCCACTCTTCAGGTGTGGAAGCTACTTGATGAAAATATTTTGAAAGTATTAATAAGTTACAATTAATAAGGCGGCCTCCCTTTCGGTGTCTCAACCTGCACCAAAATCGAAGAGAAACACAGAAGTGGATCAGGAAGAATTTAAAATTTAAAAAAATATTTCTTCCACTAGTCTTGATAATGATAAATCAAAAGATGATGTTGAAATTTTTGAAGAGAGAGTAAGTTAAAAGCAATTAATAATAAAATAACTAAAGTATTGTACAGTTAAAGCATACTATCCACAATGCAAGCTATGAGTCAGTTCTCAGAATTAGAAAAAAATAGATTATGGATCTGCATAAACATACTGTACATAAGTAATTTAAATAACAGTAGGCTAGATTGTATAATAATGCTTTGGTATTCAATATGCACTTCCACCAATAAAACCTCAAAATGGCTTTAGAATTAGAATTGTCTTTGTGTTCATTTATGAGTAAATCAATTTAATATTAGTTATTGTTTTTAAATATTGTTATTACAGATTACTTATGATTATAAATCAATGTCATAATAGTACTGTATCAATACTGTTAATATTGCAAAAAGGGGTAATTTTAATATTAAAATATACTGCCATGAGTACAAATCCCTTGAAACTATATAGAAAAATTTAAAATGAAATTAAAACATTAAGCAATACAATATTGATTAATATTTGATTTCCATGGTAGTAGGCCTATATGATGAAAAGAATCAAACAAGTTGTGTTTAAAGTAAGAAATTCATTTTGTAATTGTTTCAATATCTCTACAATATACTGCCTGCTGAAGAAATTGGGAAAATCTTTAAAATTCAATTGAACCATTAAATAGTTCATTTAAAAAGATCAATTAAGTTTTAATTTCATTTTCAAACCAAAAACAGATTTTTGGGTAATATTTAACTTGCTTAAACATATAAAATGGGAATTTAAATATGGAATTGAATTTTTCTTTTTTCTTTTTACTCATGGCAGACAGTGCTAACAGTATTTAAATTGCATTTAACTTTACCTTAAGGTATTTACCCTTCAAAATGGAATGTATTGCTGCGCAAATTGCGGAGAAAATTATATCGACCGTAAATTCTCCTATCCTCAATTGATAAGATAAGCTATTTTTTATTTGAAGATTTTACTGTGTTTAAGGCCTAAATGTGTGATTTTGTGAATATGAAGTGTCTAGAAAATTATAACATTTAATGTTAATATATTTCTCAATCTTTTGTTTTCTTTACGAATAAATAGAAGATGTTATGCCTAGGTGTAAAAAACTCATACGGTTTGCATATCCTAGGCCTGAAGTGTAAATGCATACGCCTATCATTTGCATATCCTAGGCCTGAAGTATAAATCCATGTACGCCTATCGTTTGCATATCCTAGGCCTGAAGTGTAAATGCATGTAAGCCTATTGAATGCATATCCTAGGCTAGCCTGGGTTCCAGGCCCTAATTTTGGGGACACTCACTCTTTATTGCACATACTCGCTTTCTTTTTTGGATTAGGGCCTGGGCAAACGATTCATGCGTATGATTTCCCACATCAAATTCGATGTGGGATATCGTATGCATAACTGGTTTAGTAAATCACGTTATTGGCTTACTTCATGCATATTAATTAATCTTGGTAAAATTTTCAAAATTGAAGATGCGGATGTCTCGACTAGGACAAGCTAACCAGTTCCCTTTGCCTACCTGCTGTACTTGAATTAAAACAGTAGTATAGAGTTCTGGCATGCTGAGAACGACTATGGACTGATAACCGTAGTAGGCTATACTTTACAGAACCTTGCTCACCGCTAGCCGCTACACAGATTTTAGGCCTTTAGGGTAGAATATTGTTGAAAAGGTAGGCCTCTGTAAGTAAGAACCTAAAAATAGGCCAAGCCTAGGCTAGGCCGGCTACTACTTCTGACTCCAGATCGAGGCCTGAGCCATCCTCCTGGAAAGTTGTGGTGTTGTATTGTAATGGTATGCCATCTAGCATAATCAAGCTTAATTGGTTTTTGCCATTGCCAAAATTAGTCTTACTCGGGTCTATTCTAAATATTTTAGGCCCGTTGTATTAGGGAGGTCTATTTTTAGTCATTCTTAACTAGTCGATGCGAGTGACTCAGTTTCGTGGCTCCAAAAATATGAACATTTGATTGGTTGAAATTGTTTATTTTGGTCCGCCCATTTATCCAAATACGGAATATAAGATTACGTCATTCTTTTGGCATCCGGTTCCTGCATTCAGTGTTTTACAAGTCTCTTATTCCGACTCTAAATTAACTTTTTCGTTGGTGGCGCTGTCCAGAATGAGAAAAATAATAAAAAATAAGAGACTTGTGACAAGTCTAATCCTAGGCCTGAAGTGTAAATGCATGTACGCCTATCGTTTTTTGGCCAACTGTCTCCTCCTTAGTATAAATTAAAATTGCAGTCAGTTTAAATTTTGGCCATATAATTTTGAAACAATACAAGAGTGACGTATTTGAACCTAACAAATGTAAATACGGGGGGCCTGGCCGACGCAAGTCTAATACTTGACCTAAGCACCTAGTCTTAGCACCTCCTTACCTATTTAATTAGCATTGTGCTTAATGTAAAATTAAATTAATTGTTCCTTAAAGCCATTCTCCGGAGGAGATACTAATTTTTGAATATTTAAAAACTGAGGGAAAAGGTGAAAAAAGGGTGGTTAAACCCCTTTTTCCCCCAGTTTTTAAATATTTAAAAAATCTGTATTTGATTAACCGTTCCCAAGTTATTTAGGCATTTAACACACTTTTTGTGTCAATCAGTTATAAAACATACCTATATGTTTCTTTCCTCAGGAGCCTGGCTTTTAAAGTTCAAGTACTTTAGGCATACGAACTACAACACCACATCACAAACACAAAGTAGATGTACAGTTACATAAGGTTTACTTGCCAGTTGGCTAAGAATTGGAGTGCGATTACTAATATTTCCCTTTATGCTATTGGCTTTCACCAATTCATCTTCTGTTTTTCAATTAGTGGCGGACTACAGCAATGAGTGAGTACAGGTTTTCAAAAATGCTCCATCGTGCAATACATCATTGTGTTGTGTTCATTATGGAATCACTTCGGAAAATCACCTCGCGACGCAGTAAGTATGCAGCTTTACTCAACAGAGGAAATCAATTGTTCATTTACAGTAACTAGATTCAAACCAAAATGCATACCAATATAATATACTCACAAATTTGGGAAATGATACTTTGGAATTTGATCACCAGCAAATCCTGCTTTAATAACACCAGATCCCTAGAAAAACGAAAGGCTACATTAATCATAGATATCACTGAAAATTCCAATTCAAAAAGCTAATATAATATTGTACATGTACAGTACCTGCATAATTTTTAGCAATAAATGTTAAAAATAATGAATAACAATTTCTATGTCATCTTTCCAAAAAAAAAATGTTAAAGGAGAAGTTTACTGATTTTATATATAATTTAAGAACTGATTTTAGCATACTCAATTACATAAAATATCCCAATTTTGAATTATGAATGTCATGCCAGTTCATTACATTGACGCTCAAACCAAATTGTCTATGATGTACCAGGTGCATCTCTCCATCCTAGTTTAGCAACAGGCCATTCTAATGCATAGGAATAAGGTTGTTCTAGTTTTTTGAATTATTACTATCCTTGTAGCCAGCAGTACTGTAGTTTTTTGAACCAATATCAACAGAAGAAAAATGTGTATGCTGTCACGAGGTTCTTGGATAAGTTACAGGTCTACCTTTATTATAGTAGATGAACTTGATGCAGCCAAGTAATATGACGACGGTAAAATTTTAGAACCCTGTGTTTGGCCTTTTCAGTCCTAGGCACCAAATTTTTAAAAGCACACATGTGTGATACTGCTGCACTTCTATCTTTCATAGAAGTTCAAATTTGGGGACAGGGTCTTGTAATGTATTGCATATGATTAGGATGATTCCTACAGCAGTTCATCGTATTATTATTATCTGTATATGATATAAAAGGGCTGTTGATTGTAGACAAAGAAGAAGTAATCGTAGGCCTGGTTGAGAAAGACCGTATAGTTCAAACTTACAATCAAATGTCGTGTTAAATTGCAACATTAAAAAAAAATGGGGCTGTAGTGCGTGAACACTTTGATGCCTAGGCGGTAGGCCTAGAGAGAGATTACGAGTTCCTAAACTTACTGTCATAATATTACAGGTCTGTCTCAAATTCACCTAATGAAGGTAGGCCTATTTTCTAATAAGATGACAGTTATACCTTTCTTCTGTCCGTTTTTATTGGTTCACAAACTTTGAGTAGGCTAGAGGCCTAATAGTTCTACCTACAAGCAGCAGTCTAAACTGCACAGCCATTATGCATAGCAACATATTTCTTGGTTTTTCTTTATTCTCTGACATTCAGTGTCTTCTTCATCAAGGTCTACAATTACTTTTTTGCCCATCTGGGCAGTTCTCAAATTATATAAAATTGGTAAACTTCTTTAATAATAAAGCAGAATAAAAATCAAAACGGAGAAAAAGTGCATCGCTTTCGCTGCTGCTACCGCCAACGCTACTATCAATACCCAGCCGATTGATTATTCGACCCGTCTGTAGTAACTAGCAAAGCCATAGACATGACTCTGGTTACTTGGTAGGCCAAAGCGTGTGTTATCATGATTAATTTACTTTACGCCTATGCGACTACCTTGTGTATTATTACAATAATATAACAAAAAAATTAAACAATTTGTCTTTTCTCCACCATCGGGAGTATAACACAACGTCCTATGCCAGTGTTGTAGTATTACTTTTTAATGTGTATGTCTAGTAGTATGTTTATGTTTTATTATGTAAATTACAAAAACCAACGGTGTGTAATTTAACTTTTGATTTTCATTTTAAAGTTAATTTACGATACTATTATAATTCTTTAAGATATTTAGGCTACTGTAATATAATATTACAATAATATTTTCTTTGTTTATTATTTGTACTTGACTCATATTTTTGTTCATCATTTTCGGACATCAACCTTGTGCTCTGACCTTTTTATTGTTGTCCTTTACAGTTTTCAAAAATTTACTATATACAAAGCAAAGAGCTCTTACCCTTATGACAAACTTTGGCCTACTGGTCTCTTAAAGTGATAAGCGGAAGCCACGGCAAAACAACGCGATATTAAAAGACCTTTGCTAATGAATATTATTCATATAATAATTATAGCGCCACCAATCGGCTTGGCTGAGACGTCATGGAAAAAAAATTTCGCGCTCAGGGCTAATGCTACATCCTTGGCCGCCATCATCACCAATACTGCTGCCACAGCCAATGCTGCTGCCCCCACTACTACTCTTGATATAAAAACAGTCATAATCTTTGATTTAAACAAGATATTATTACAAAATATTAATATTTAGGCCTAGGAAACATAATTTTGCTTTTATGTTTTTGCCAAGCAATTACCTGAGTTTCAAAATAGGCCCTAGCTAGCCTTCTAGGCTATATACTTATTATAGGCTAGGCCTAGGCCTACGAGATTCATATTTTAAGATTTTTTTAAGAATTAAAAAAAAATTCATTCATACAAGATCATTCATTAGGCTAGGGGAACAATAGGCCTCCTAGGCCTATGAATTGGATCTGGGTTGGATGCAAGGCCTAGGCCTAGCCCTCTACCCTATATGATACCAATTGGATCTGGGTTGGATTGGATGCATGATCCAAGAATTTGAACATTTTACACTGAACTGGTAACCAATGCAGCTTTCAAATTAAAAGGCTTGCTTCGCCCATCTGTATCGAGGAAGGCTACCACCTAGCTAGGTATCAATATGTATCCATCATATCCTAGAGCCTGGCCCTAGCCTATGCTAGGCCTAGCTGCTGCGCGGGGCTCCAGTCCTAGCCTGGGCCCTAGGCCTCCTGGACCTGGCGATATTTCCCCCATATTGATATATATTAATCACTACAACACAAAACGAAAAATATGTACATTATCAATGACAACAGGCTGGTTTGCAATGACATCATATGACTCCATCCTGACGTTAGTATAACAGGCCTGAGTACCGACCAAAATACTGCTGTATGTCCAGATGATCCTCCTTTTCTGCTGAAAACACACCTTTTTGAAGCTGCATTAGTCTCTGTTCCGTTTGTTATATGGATGGGTTTTGTAGCCTGTGTGTGAAATTAAGACGGCTGGATATTCATAATTAATTGTATGAAATGCCAAATTCGCCAAAACTATGTTTAAAATGGTGTAGAGTCGTTTCGGCCCTGAGTCGATTCGGCCTCGGGTCGTTTCGGCCCTGAGACGTTTCGGCCCTGAGTTGATATTTTTGTCATGCATTTCGTCCGCGGTGTATGGAGCACCGAAGGTGTGGCCGCGAATAATAATTTAATAAAACAAGGTGGCGGTACTGTTTGTTAAACATGAAACTTAGGCTAATTCAACATTATCAGATATTAACAATTCTTTTTAGTAATATTTTAGCGGATTAGTTTTTTTTTGTTTGTTTGTTGCGTCTCCATTTACATTACCAAATGTTCTATTTATAACAATACATAGGCCTATATAAAATAAATTAAAATATACTGAATGGAATGACGTGATAATGAAAATAAAGCAAATATATTATTGTATTCATAAGGCCGACAAAATCACTCATTGCATAGAAATTAACTAAAGAAATTATTAACTACAGTATAATTTGAGGAAAGAAACGTTTTCAACAATTATGTTGAGGTGAAGCAGACACATGGTTTGTATCTTCCTGTTTGTTTTATTTCCATTGTCGATACATATTTTGATTAGACATGTTTATAAAATACACAAATAAATGGAAATAGTAAAATATAGTTTAAACAAAATCTATAAGCCTACAATGTTAATGGCTGTTTCAGGCATATTTTGATATTAAGTCGGAAATTTCACTCACAGGGCATATTGTTGCATGGAAACTAACTATAAAAATAGGAAAGAAACGCCCACAAACAGGTTCCCACGGTACTCTTTAGGGTGAGAAGCAGACATGCTTTGTACGCCGCCTTCAGGAATGTGTGGGCGCACACATTGCAAAGAGTGAAGTAGGTCGAATGATAAAATTAGACTGGCTATTTTAGGTGCAAACACATGCCATGGCAGTAAATGTGTACGCGTGTGTTCACCTCTCGTCTATGGTTCCGATTTAAAAAAAAAATTATTCAACGTTGTTTTACCTTTAATATTTCGTTTACCGTATATATGGTCAGGGCTCCTGCCGGCAGAGCGGATCCAGAACTAAAAATGGGGCCGATCGAAATAACACCGCCCTAAGGGGAGATCCGCGATATATTTGTCTTCTAGACAGACGCTCGAATTTAACCTCTGAGGCGTTTTGGGCGATCAATTTTTCCCCTTTTTTAACTTCCTGAAAGGGTGACGGGGGGCTGAGGACGCCCCGGCGCTGTGTAGACTCGATTTCTTGCCGCTCCATACTTCAGCTGCAATCGAAATGCTTGCTTGCAAACAATAGGGCGCGACCACTTCTGACGCGGGTCGTTTCGGCCCAAAAAACGACCCGGCCGAATGATATCGACCCAGGCCGAATCGACTCAGGGCCGAAACGACCCGGAACCGTTTAAAATAAGTGTAGGAGGTCGAATAGAGGCCTCCTATTGGGGATAGGAGGTGGTTCCCAAGTTCGCCAAGTAGTAGAGGCTAAAATATGGTTTAAACTTCAACAAACTCTAATAAAAGGAATTTTTGTATATTCTTGTACGTCTATACGTAAATAATTATGGAAATATTTTTGCCCCCTTTTTATAGTTGCGTTGACTAGATATTCAGGGTCAAGGGTCAATGACCTTTATATAACATGTTCTGGGTCATAAGTCTTCAACCACTTGCTCTAAAAGCACAAAAATAGTATCTACACCTGGATTTTTGGGGTCAACAATTCAATGGAAACATTTTTGTCGCCTTCTAGAATTGACCAAATATTCATGGTCAAAGGTCAATGACCTTTATGCAACTATGATGGTCATAACTCCTGAACCAGTTTGCCTAGATGTACACAAATAGTGGCTATAGACTCCTAGGTTTTGGGATCAACATTCATTAAAACATATTTGCCAACTTCTAGTAGCTGTGACCAAATATTCAGGGTCAAATGTCAGTGACCTATATAAAACATATGATGATCATAACTCCTCAACTACTTGGTCTAAAAGCACCAAAAATAGTGTCTCCACAATCAACTTATAAACAAAAAAGCCAAATGCATCTTACATAATTGGGATACACAATCTGAAATGGTAATTTAACAATATGTAAAATATATGATACATGTTTCCACTTAAAGTTTCTGTCAATTCACTTAGCAGATACGTTTATCATTTTTGCTCAGTATTCATAGTCTATTTCTTGTAGGCCTAATTGTGTCCAAATACATTTTCCTTTCGTAACAGACGTATGTATGCTGACTATGAACACACAGCATCACCATCAATATCATCAGAATAAACTTATTCATCAACATTGTCGCATCCATCAACCTGGCAAGGGCCACAAGCAGCTATGCATGGCAGATCAGATTTCCTACACGAACATATGTGGTTGCAGTTACATCTTATAATGTTAAGCAGTTCTTCTGGTGCGTAACGGTACTGGTTTGGTCTACTGGAGCTCGTCTTCGTACAAGTCATTCCATTCACAGAAAAGCCTTTTTAATGGAGAAAGCGTACTGTACCTGTTGTTAGCCATAGTATCCCAGGTAAATACTAAATCCGGCTATATAAAATTGATTATAAGATAGAAAAATAGTAAATCATCAAAGGTACATATACAGTGTTTTAATAAGGACATGATGGAACATCGTAGGCTACCCTGTAGCTTTTCAACGAATAAAGTCCTATAAAAGTCATTGTGTAATAAAATGCCTCCGACGGGATTCGAACCTGCGACCTCTCGCTGACAAGTCGAGCGTCATAACCACTAGACCACGAAGGCTTCATGGTTGAACAGGTCCAAATAACCGTCGGGAACATTGTATTACACAATGCTACGCCTCAAGATAAATCTGGCAATACGGCTAGGAATACTGTCGTATACTAGAAATTGCAAATTGCAAGTGAAGTGCTGCGAAGTACAACTGCATATAAATGTTCTTCGAACAAAATTATTTATGCGAGTCAAGTGAAAATAATGAATAATAAAAATATAACAAATAATATGAGACACTTCTCATTGGGTAACAAAGTCGTAATTTTTCATTTTTGTCGAAAAGTGTCTATAGTGGTGAATTATGGTTTATTTATTCTTAATACTGGGTTACCTCTTCAGTAAAAGTTACTGTTCTCTTTAAGTTTAGGTTTTTTTAAAATAAAGTTTCAAAAATTTCTATGTATGTGGAAAATGTAGTTGATTACCAAAGGTTACAATTTTTATTGCATGGTCTAGGAAGTGTATATTTTTTTATGGGGCAAGTTTCCAAGGGCGGGTTTTTTAGGGGCGAGTTGACTGCCAATGATTGTTGCCAAAGTGCGAGCCAGTGTGTTATTTGATCACAAGTGCGAGACATCGCAAGTGTGTGAACCAGCGAGCCATGACGTCACGACAATAGATACGAGACGTTACTAGAGTTGTGCGAGGTATCGGCTGAGATTTGTACAATTCAAAAAACAACTACAGGCCTAATAATGAATTATTGTGATGTTAAATAGACAATGTTAGCTATCAAGGAGCGACGTTGTTTTTCATTGGGACCTTCGTCCCTTCAAGGCTAGGCCTATACCATCCTAGCTAGTCTAGGACTAGCGCCAACATTGTTAATTCCAATGTTGATTGTGCGCTGTGGGCGCACCATATGTGTTGTGGTTTGTTTTACGCCTGTTGGGCGTCCCACTGATGTTGTCGTACCGACTTACATCCGAGAGATTGTTTTGTTATTAAAAGCTTGTTTACAGTTTTACATCTTAGTCTATCGTGTGATTACTGTGTGTGGATACCTTTTTCACCCAATACTGGCGTGGTGACAGCGTATTTTGAACCCACTACAGTCGTTTTATTTGCGTGAGGCATCGTTTATCCACCCTCCGTGCTAGGCCAGTTTTCACAGACTTGGTGAGTAACTGTTTGCGGGGAGCACGACTGTTTTCCCGATCAGCTTGATAACGCTAGCTTCTCTCGTAATTCTCGTAGTAGTAGTAGTACTGCCTACGCCGGAGAGCTAAACGTCGATTCACCATGAATAATCGGGCTCCAAAACAATGGAGTTTGGGACGCCATGAAACACATCATTTGAAAGTTGGCGAAATAACCTGATATATACCTTGTCTTTAGACTCAAATTTTACACCCTTTCTGGAGGACACATGGCGGAAGAAAAGCCGTGCCCATCCTCACAGGGGCTTTACTGACGACGGTCCCGACCTGCCTAAAGCCCAACGCCGCACCGCCGCTCAAAAGAATAACATCGTGGACATGATGCTAGGTCAGGTGGCTAATTATTGCCCAATAATTTCACGGACCTCAATAACAAAGGGTGCCACCTCTCTCGCAGCAATTTGGCGACTGATTAGACAGCACTACGGTTTTCAGAATAGCGGTGCACATTTCTTAGACTTCGACAACATCAAACACGAACCTGACGAACGTCCTGAGGACCTTTTCCAACGATTATTTTCTTTTATTGAAGATTCACTTCTGGCTCCAGGAACTAACATAAAGCATCATGGCCAGGAGATTACAGAAGAGGAGGAACTGACTCCTTCTACTGAGAATCTGACTGTTCTTACTTGGCTACGCCTCCTCCACCCCTTATTACCTAAACTGGTAAAGCAACGATACGGTACAGAACTTAGATCAAGGACCCTGGCTTCCCTTAAGCCAGAAATTTCGCAAGCTTTGGATTCATTACTTGAGGAATTGAATAGAGGAGACGTAGCTGCCTTCCGTACACTTACTAAGCGCCCGCCTACCAGATCTACCAGTCGCACCACCAGGCGACCATCTTGCCCTCTATGTTTACAGGCAAAGCGGCCAGACACAAGCCATTTCTTAAGTCAATGCAAGTACTTACCTGCGTCAGACAAACGCTTCATGGCCCGTACCCGTCTTACTGATGTTTCAGAGGACGAGCCAGTAGACCATTACGAAGACTACTCCGTAGAACCCACAGA